ATATATTTAGTCCGATCCTGCCCCGTTCCTGTAATTGCAATTCTTTTATCAAATATACCTTATACCAGATAAGGATAATTAAATATATACAATAAATATATATAAATAAGTCCGATCCTGCCCCGTTTCTGTCCGTTCCTGTAAATCGTCGACCGTTCTTGCCCAACCATATCAATACAATACTATTTTTAAAATCGTTGCAATCCTTTTATCAAATGACGTACATGTACCCGATAAAAAAGATATAATAATATAAATATAAATATATATATAATTTAGTCCGATTCTGCCCCGAATGGCGATCATGTAATTGCAATTCTTTTATCAAATATATCTTATACCCGATAATGATACTTAAATGTATTCATTAATGTATAGGCCTATATAATAATTGATAGATTTCTGCCCGTTCCTGTAAATCGTCGAACCCCTAATCACGGCATTTCGGTGATGTTTTTGGCACCAAATCGCATATTTCCAGATAAAATATGGCAGATGGAAGTAAATAATAGGGGTGACTATTGCGGCCAATTTCACAATTGCAATATTATTGCTATCGCGGAAAAACTATTGCAATATTATTATTATTGCACTTTTTATTGCGATAGTATTGCAATATTATTGGTTAGATAACATTAAGCCGTAGTAAGTTAACTATGTTTTAAATCACGAATTTCAAATGTTTAATGCTATCTAGGGTTTCTCTAAAACAACTTACTGCCTGGTTTATATGTTTCTATTTGTCAGTTGTCATTGTGTTTATAATTGATAAATACAGATGTAAAAATAATAAAAATCCACAAATGATTGAAACTTAAACTCGCTTTTTAGTTTTTATTTGTCCATCTTAGAATCAAGAGAATGACACTTCTATAGAGCTTTGTCGCCTCTAGTTCAGTACTAGTATTGTTCATTGTTCAACATACAGTTTCCAGTTCTTCTTTAGAAAGATTAGCTTGTCCACATAGTCAGGTCTCAATGCGGACCTCTGAGCAGTTACAATGTCGCCCGCCGTGGAAAGATTCTCTGAATTCAGAGAGTGACCTCCCCTAAATCAGTGTAGCGACAAGCGATGCGGAACAAACGTAGTGATGACTCGGACATTTTCGGGGGAATTCCCAGACCGGAATATTTACATGTTTAAGGTTCCGAAAAGATGATTTTAATAACTATTGAAACAATCGATATCTGACNCCCCAATAAAATATGACAGACGGAAGTAAATAACGTCTACAAAGGTGATATTTCACAGTAATAAAGAAGTATTTGGTTCATAACTGGATCGTATGGGGTAGTATTGGGTAGTATCGGGTAGTATTGGGTGGGATTGGGTAGTATTGGGTAGTATTGGGTAATTAGATCTTTGTGAATCAATTCACCAAATCCAGCAATATAGTTTGAACAATGTTTTCGTGTTGTGTGTGTCTGTGTGAATATTATATATATTTATTCATGTTTTAACTTTTATTAAAATCATGTAATGGTAAATGTATGACGGGAGAAGGCTAGGATAAGTAGCAATAACTTTTATCCAAATCGATTGTTTAAAGGAAAAAGACAATGGTACATGTATCTACAGAAGAAAAAAAAAGAAAAATCCTGAAACGACCTTTGACATGTCCTGAAACAACCCGAATTTTTTTCCCCGAAACGACTTATTACTGAAACGACCTGACAACGACAGACTGGGTACGTGGGTCCTTTGTCTTCAGAAATTAAGGTTCAGAGGGGCAATCCCTCTCAAAGTTGAAAGACGGATGTGTGTAAAGATCTATTGACTATTTGACAGTTAACCTTTACATTTACCAAATCCGAAGTCAAATGATAATTTCCCTAAAATTTTAGGGGCAAATCATAGGAAATAGGTGTTTTCTTCCAAAACCAACAGCCAGCCCCATCCTGGGAAGTCAAACACATATAACGGTCTACTTCATCAAATCATATCATCACCTTAATAGCTTCTGAGTCCGTGATATTATGAAAGGCCTGAACAACTAAACAGGTTGGGAGCCCACCCTAACATGTGAGACTGTCCCTTATTTACCTACTGTTAATCATAAACTAGCAGTGTTTATTTCTCGATCCATTAATTCCATTCGTCAAAACTGGTGACGATGAGTGCAAATACCTTTGTTTTTCTAGTTATATGCCGAGTCCATATGCATGAAATTTATAATAAGACAGACTGATTAACAAGATTCGATGCATCATGTTTAAATATACTCACCAGCTTCATACATAAATCTTACAACACGAAAATTTACTCGGCTCTCAGTGGTAAACGCCATTCCTGCCCAGACAACAAGAGTCTGGTTGAACGAGACTATCCGCCGGTACAATCAGTACATTTCCGGTTTTACCTTATCGCTACATTGGCCTGATTTGTGGGAGGATCAAGATGTTTCCCGCGTCTTTTTAAGATGTAGTTGCAAGCCGTGAGAATATCTCTGTCTAAGAAATAAAGATTTGTTTGGTCTCTAAGGGATTTCTAAAACATATTTCCACCTATATCCACACTGCAAACTTTCGGTTTTTACTATTTTATTAATATTATTTTCCATTATTTTTCCTGTTGCGGTACCATGCTCACTCATAATTTAGTTAGAAATCTCAGTGTATTATTTTTCGAAGGTGTACTTTTACTTTTATTGAGAGACAGAAAAGGGGAAGTATTTAGTGTCAGACAGTAAAGGTAAAGCAGAGAGGAAAGTATAGATTTAGAGAAAGTAAATAGGATCAGCAGAATGATGCGAAATAGTATACCACCGGTCAATACTGGTATAATCACGGATCTAATTCCGTGGTATAATGTAGTAGGTATTATGCAATAGCTATCTTGCCAGACAATGGTCTTATTCAGGTACATAAGTTTTTTTCCCCTTTTTTTTTTAATTCATTCGTAAATTGTTGAGCCCGCGCCTCCCCTTTACCATATACGTGTATGCGTTATCTCAAGTTGACAATGCGCACAAACAACAAGTCTCCGAAAAGATACAATGTTGTACACTGCTTCTGAAATCAAGGACGACACCGACCTCAAACGTTCTATCGACCAATCGACGAGCCAGATGCAGTGAGTGACACGCTGAAACATGTTGAACACGGCTTAATTGTTGACGCCGTAACGAATTTGATTGTATTTTGTATTGGATGATGATCCTTAACCGTGTTCAATAGTGCTTCTATTGAAAGAGTATTGTGCAATCTACCTGTTTGTAGATGAATGACTTCAGAATCAGAGGTATCCCATTGCCTATCCTATTCTATTTCCCTATTTGACCAATTATACCAAATAACATATTTTCTTTATCAACTGAAAAATGTATAGTAAGAGCATTTAAAAGTGTTTCAAAAAACGCCATACAGTTTTGAAATGCATTACATTCCAATAAGACATGTGTGATTGTCTTTTTTTGCATTACAGAAATTACAAGTAGGGTTATTTGAAAGATTACATGGTAGCCATCTCGGATCGCAAGATGGCCATCATGTATGAATCACCATCGTGTCAGCGTCATCGCTACAGAAGCTTCATTTATTCGCTGACATTGACCAAACTTTATACAAAGGTCGACAGAATTCCGTCGTCTAGTTTCCAGCTTGATAAACAACAGGCTTTGTTGGAGGATTGTCTACTGTTTTGTTTGGGTTTTTTTCTGACAGAAAAGCTCTCTTTGTGCCTCAGTGGCGTGTTTTACCAGAAAAAACAAAAAACAAACGTGGCGCAGTTTGGCATCCATTACTAAGCATGTGACTGTTACCCTTTTCGAGAAGACGAGGATACCATGACTGTTTGTCTGTATCGAAGGCTCACGACACATTCTCGGAATTCTAGGGGTAACCATCCTCGATACTTCAGGGGTTACGTTGTTTAAGACCAATCGCTTATCATATACCTAGCCTTTGAATAGCACAGAGGAGAGACACCCGACTTCAAAGTCGGTCAATTTTACCGCTATGATGCCGTGTGATTCATTTGATGTACATCAAAGGATCTCACTTTTCTTATTTTCTCATCCATTTTGTCATGACATTTCCCAGAGGTTCAGAAAGGGTAAGTGACGTAACCACTGGAGTGTCGAGGATGACGGGTAACATTCACTCAATTCCCTGCACCCCTGGAATATGTCAAGATAAAATTGAAGGCTCGCGGTTAGCGATTTGATTAGTTTCAGGTGAAAAAACTTACCAATCGCTAAGCTGATACCTATTCTTTGAAGATTGCTGAGGAACGACACTCGATCTCAAAGCCGGTCATTTTTACCGTTACACTACAGCGCCATTCTTTTTATGTACATCAAAGGATCAAATTAGCCTACTCGTATCATCCACAAGGTGGCGCACACTTCAGCGTAGCTCATGTCCATTTTCTAGACCAGTAAACCACTCTCTTCACCTACCACAGCCAGGAATACTTCCTTGGAGGAAAGGGTTTGTTGTTCTTTTTTTCTGACAGAAAAGCTTTCTTTGTGCCTCAAAGGAGGTCTTTTGTTTTATTGCAAAGACGATTTGGGCCTAAAATACCAAACATGAGCTCCTTGCCTTTTCAAGTGAACAATTTAATAAAACAAATAAAAACTTGAATAACCCCTATCAGAAAGAAAAAATGGCATTTAAAACGTATCCCAATATATAAACTATGATAATATAGAAAATGTATACGTAGATGATATGACTACATTGACAGTCGAGCCTCGCTAATCCGGATACGTGGAACAGCTACACTATCTTATCCGGACACTTTGGAATTCGAACCTCACCTATCCAGCCACGTAATGCAATAGTTCAGTCATATTTAGCTGATCCGGACACATGGAAAGTCAATCCCCTTAATCCAGAAACGTTTTGCAGCCGAGTCCTGCTCATCCGGCATGGTACTGTACAGCCAAATCCCTTAATCCAGACTCACTGGTAGCGTCAAACCTCGCTAATTCGAACATGAGTCGAATCTCGTTAATAACTCTCTAACTTTATAAAATCAAGCCTTAAATCTGGACATTAGATCCTTCAGATTTCTTTTCTGATTTACAATTTCTGCATATTGCGAAATGCGACTTCTACCTTGTAATGAATCGATTTGCTTGTTTTATGAATTTTATGTCCGTTACAACTAATACGGTGACTGATTGAGGACGTTATAACGAGATGTAAAGTCGTTATAACGAGATACTAAGTCGTCATAACGAGATGTTAAGTCGTTATAACGAGATTCTAAGTCATTATAACGAGATGTAAAGTCGTTATAACAAGATACTAAGTCGTTATAACGATATACTAACTCGTTATAATGATATACTAACTCGTTATAACGAGATACTAAGTCGTTATAACGAGATAAAACTATTCTTTGGATGTCCTCAATCAGCCACCGTAATCTAAAGTTTCTGTATGGTAATGAAAATTATATCGAGTTAAACAAAATATTGGATATCCTTTCCAACATTAGATGACATTAAATATAAAAAAAAAATCTTTGTGAGAACATAAAAAGCATGAGATGACCTACATGTATGTTAAAGGTATATGATTATACGAGTCCTTGTGGGCATACACAACAGTAAATAAGGCATTGTTTACGTGAGTGTGTGTATATGGCGACGTGCGATTTAGTTTCGTATGTGTACGTATATATACATACATAACTACGTAGGACAAGGTGTTTCTCTTTCACTTGCTGTTGTATGTATAGTAAACATAAAAGTAGAAGAAGAAAAATGTGCATTGAGTCAAGCGTGACTTTAAAATACCCGACTGTACACTAGCGGTAACAGAGCGTAACGCCACTACATTGTGAACTTACCCGTAAACACGACTAGGTTACGCAAGTTGGACGGAACAGGGAAGTAATCTAAGTCCGTGGTGTTATGTGAAATAGACTGAGTGAAATTACACAAACCAACTGTCGTGTTCAAAATGGACATACCAACAGCAGTAGTACTCCTGCAAGGTAGGTCAGTTTATATGTCGGGTAATCGGCAGGTCACAGGTGTCTATTGACTGACACTGGCATAATACCCCCCCTCTCCCACAACACCACCGACTTAGACATTTTGACAAGTAGATGACTGGTATTGGTCGCCAAATATATATATCTGTCAAAATGTCGTAGTCAGGAGTCGGGGCAAGAGGAAACTCGGGCTACACCACCAGGTGTTTTGTCTATCGTCTTGTACCAGTAAACACTACTCCTTGCACTCCAGACC